GAGCAATGGAGCTCCAGGAAGAAAATTAAAGATCCCCATAGGAAATGGTAAATAAACTTTAAATTAATGCCTCAAAGGACCACACTTGGAAGGATAGAGATAAAAAGGAGCACTTTGTGTTCACAGAGAATAAGTTTCACTTTCTTATAAGATTAAATACCATGGCTGAAGAAACAGTGATGAGACTACATGCCCCAGTAGAAGATTTAATTGGGCATCTAGAGTCATGGTGAAACACAAAAGGAAGAAAGCCGTAAGACAATTGTTTCATACTGCCAATGGGAAGACTGTGACTTTACAGGAAATGTGGAAATGATTTCTATTCCTGTCATCACTAAAGAGCCTTCAGATGACTGGGCAGCATGGTGGCTCAGTGGTTAGCACTGTTGCCTCACAGCACCAGGGACCAGGTTCAATTCCACCCTCAGGTGACTGTGTGGAGTTTGCACATTCCCTCTGTCTGCGTGGCTTTCCTTTGGGTGCTCAGGTTTCCTCCCACAGTCTAAAGATGTGCAGGCTAAGTGCATTAGCCGTGGGAAATACAGGGGTTACAGGAATAGCGTAGGGGAATGGGATGCTCTTGGGAGGGTTGGTGTTGGGCTTCTATAATGAAAGGAGTCAGCGGAAAGGCAGATGCTGAGAGTGGGAATGAGCAAGACAATTCACTGGACCTCACTGATCATCTTGGTCTAAAAATCCAGGATACTGTAAGGAGGAAAGTACTTGTTTCAACAAAACAGCCATTCTCCATGATCTAGATCCCAATGGAGTGAGATATACCATCTCTGGTTCCTGATTGTTATTGTAATTATGTTAAACTAGTCAAAGTAACCTTTATGCAATAGACCACATCTTGTTGTTAATACAAGTGCTTTTTCTTGTTACAACTCACTAATGGTTCATTCTCTATCACTTAAATGAACAGGCCCTTATTCGTATACAAAGGAGAATGGATGGTAGCACTCTAGAACAATCTCAAACTGCCAATGATTTGTCCTGAAAACTCATGACAGGAAGCTTATGCCTTGGGTCTAATTGGTGATACTGCATGGCAGAGGGTTCAGTCATAGTGTAGCACTGAGTGTTGTGCAGTCATCAGTGAACATCCTCACTTCTGATGGAAGGAAGGTCATTTGATGAAGCAGTTGAAGGTGATTGGTCCTTAGAAGCTATAACTGAGGAACTCCTGCAGTGATACCTTGAGGCTGAGATGATTGACCTCCCACGATCCCAATCATCTTCCTTTGTGCTAGGTATGACCACAACCAGCAGAGCGCACCCCCACCCACCACCACTACCACCATTCCCATTGATCTGTTCTGCTAAGTCTCCTTGACTCAGTGAAATGCTGATTTGATGTCATGGAAAGGCACTCTCACCTCATCCCGGTAGTTCAGCATTTTTATCCCTGTTTGGACTAAAGCTGTAATGAAACCAGGAGCTGAGTAGCCCTGGCAGATTCCATACAGAGTATCAGTGAACAGGTTATTCTTTTTCAAGTGCTTTTTGCTAGCACAGTAGATGTCTACTTTTAAGACATACCCAGGAAATTTTTCACATTGTTGAGTAGATGCCAATATTGTAGCTATATTGGAATAGATTGGCTCAGGACATGGTTAGTTGGAATACATGTCCTCAGTACTATTGCTAAAATGTTGTCAGGATACATAACCTTTGCAAAATCCAATACCTTCAACCATTACTTATATTATTATCCCAGCAGATGTTACCACTGGACAACTCAGATCCCAAACTGAAATCTGGCTTGATAGATCATATTTTGTTTTGGCTTTTTACAAGGTAGATTACTTAACGATAAACATGCAATGTTGCAGATTTGGTTTTAAGAATAAAACAGAAGTTAATTATGCAAAAGAATTGAAGATAAAATAGAATAAGCCAAACTATTTACTTATAACCCATGTTTAAAACTTTTGAATCATACAGTAAAAATATGTTTCCCTTAATCCCAACAATATTCCATTAGAGTACTCAAACATAAGAGACAGTGCTCTTCTCTATCCTGCACAGGTTTGACTTAGCTGTAGCTTCAAATTGTGACAACTTGATAGCTTCTTCCTTGATTCCTTGATGTAATTGAACTTAAACGTTGTCCGCTTTAAATAACCCCTCTGGGGTTTTAATCAAACACTTTTGGTCTGGTCTTTTAAATTTAACTCCTTAAGCTGATGCAACCTATTTTTAACAATTTTAAACTATCTTCTCCCTTCCTCAGGAGCAACTGCGTTATACATCCAGCTTCAACTAAGAAACCTGCAGAACTGCCCAAACTAAATCTAAACAAAAAAAAATTGGTTTCAAGTTGAGAGTGTTTCCCATAATCAAAAGAAATACCAAATTTTCTTCCAAAAGTCTAATACACTCCATTGTTTACTTTGTTCATCTGTAAACTCTCCCAATTCAAACAAATTCCCATTAGCCTCCAATACCACCTCTCTTAGATTTGTTTTTCTAAAAGACATCACCGTGGCTATAGAAATATAAGTAATTCATTAAACCCCTTCAGACATACGAAAAAAGCCTTATGGCACTGTTTCAAATTCGAAGATCCAAACTCAAAAATAAATGATGTTAATATATATATGATTGACAAATCTTACATCACATGTAATGTCACATGGAGTGAATTGAATTGATTAAAGACCGACATCTGTAATGTTGAGAACCTCAAGAAAAAGCTGAGATAGGCCATTTGGCAGTTCTTGCCAAAAGTAGTTGCAGACACTTCAACCTTTTCTTTTGCACTGATATGCAGCCATCCTTCATCATTGAGGATGAAGATATTTGTGGGAACCTCCAACTCATGTTGATTGTTTACTTGTGCACTACCATCCATGACTGAATGTGGCAGAACTTCAGAGCTTAGATCCATTGGTTGTGGAATTTCTTAGCCATGTCTACTGCACACTGCTTTTGTTCCTTCACATGTGAGTAATCTTATGTTGCATCTTTACTGGATTGACACCTAATGTTTAGGAATGCCTGGTGCAGTTCCTGACATGCCCTCCTGCTCAACTCTTTGAACCTTGATAACCTTTTACAAGTTGTTTATCAAGAATATATCTACCTCTGTCTTAACAGTATTCCATAATTGTGTTTCTATCGCCTTTTGAGGAAAGAGTTCCAAACGTTTGTGGCCATTTGTCAGAAAAGAATTTGCCTTATGTCTGTCTTACATGGATAATGCAGAATCCTCTGTAGTTCAGAGCTCTGCAATCTCTCATCATTAAGATAATATGCTTCTTCCTTTATTCTTTCTCCCAAAATGGATAATGTTACTTTTCTATGAATATTTGTGTCGTCAACAAATTTAGCAACCATTTCTTTGGTCCCTTCATCCAAGTTATTACATAATTGTAATAATTCCAAATTCCAGCCCCGATCCCTGTGTCACAGCACTCACTGAACACACTTGTTTTGAGTCAAATGTTTATTTTAATTTTCTGCTGTTACCTTGGCGTATATAAGCAATGACCCAACACTGATCACTATTTCACACATTTGCAGAACCAATCACTGGCAACTTGTGATTGGAATGGGTGCTGCCACCAGCCCTGATTTGTATATTGATCTTAAGGGTCAGTTTGGTTAACAGTGGTAGTAGATGAAGTAATAGTGAGTCTTAACCAAGAAAATGTACTTGTCATAACATCATATTATAGTCTATTGCATGATAACAATAGCTAAAAGTCATATAGACTAATTACACATAATCACCAAGACTAAGGAGACAGTAAGAACTGCAGATGCTGGAGTCAGAGTCGATACAGTGTGGAGCTGGAGGAACACAGCAGGTCAGATAGTATCAGAGGAGTAGAGAGTCGACATTTCGGGCCTAGACCCTTTATCAGGACCGGTGAAGGGTCTAGGCCCGAAACATCAACTCTCCTACTCCTCTGATGCTGCCTGACCTGCTGTTTTCCTCCAGCTTCACACTATATCGACATCACTAAGACTAAGATGATGCAAATCGAATTTCAAACTGGACTCCTCCATTCTCCATTTGACTGTGTGACATCATCAGATTGGGTGGAACCTTATGCAGTTTCCAACTCTTACCTTGTACAACACATCCAACAGCAGCAGCTATGGTCTGCACACCAGCTCTTTGTGACCCATCTATTAGCCATAACAACCCAAGACTGGACAGAAACATGCTGCAATGTGTACCCTTTTACTGTTGGTGGTACCTCACACGTTCTTGGACAGTTCCCCACCCTTGCCCAGCCATTACTGATTTTCCCACTGTATCTCCTTTCCCCATGCCACTTTTGTTCCACCCTGCCAAAGGCAGCCTCCTCTCATGTGCTGCTTTCTGATCGCTTGGAGAAATTATGCTGCAACTTGCTTATTAACCTTGATTTAAAGCCTTATCACTATGAAGACAAAGCAGCAAGTATTTACCCTGAGGTCCAGAAAGGACTAAAGCTTGCCAAGTACACAGCTCGTAGATGCAGTCGGGTATCTGAAGACATGTATTCCTCCATTGAGTAGGACTTAATTGGGACTGAGCACTTAATTCTGGTGACTTGTGCATTTAATTAGATTCAAATGCATACAGATAGATTTCTCAACACCTGCAGCTGCGTTGACCTGCTTTTTAAGGTTGAGGAACTTAATTGCAAGAGTTTATCCCACCATTGAAATTCTGAATTTTTGACTATTGCCTAATTAAGTTCCCCTGCTTGCCATTCTCACACCTTCCTCTGGGACCTGAAAATTCCGACCATGGTGTGGTTTCTTTATATGGCACAAAATAAGTATCATTATTTTATGACTTGAGCTAAAATATATAAAAATGAATAGAAACTAGTGTTTGTTTACATTTAAAATCTTTGTAATTCACTTTAGTTTGGCATAATTTTACACAAAACAATCTTTGGAAGCAAATTATACTATTTTGCTTGAATTATCTGTTCGATTATTAAAAAAATATTGATTGATCTTAATAAACATATTTTCTTCAAAATATATCATAGTTCCCCGGATTTTTCTGCTGGGTCCACCTGCTTCAGGGAAGCTTACTATTGTAAGTGCATTCTAACTTTACATTATTTACTGTAGAAAAATATTTTGTAATTAAGGGTGAATACATTTTTTTAAATAAAAGTTAACTTCTGGAGGAGCAGTGTTAGCAATTAATATCCATATTTCTTAATATTTATATTAAAGCATTTCTATTCCAAAATTATATCTTCACTGTCTAAAATGATTTGGGATGGAAGTGCTTTGTTTTGTTCGTTCTTATGAAATTTGTCAAACTTCTATAGGTAATGTTAATCAGCCTGTTCAGATGAGTTACAACACACATCCAGAACATGTCTTGAGTCCAGGTCTTCTGACTCAGAGGTAGGGACACTATTACTACAGCACAACCAACCCCTGCCTTAAATAGCATGTTTTTACATTCACTCTAACCAATTATTGAATTTATAGGAATATGTTTGAAGGGAGAGGGATAGATAAGAGGATTCAACCTTGCATGGGGAGATCCCCAATGAATTTTAAATCCATCACTGTAACTATGATGATCAGCCAAATGACCATTTTTGTTTACATCAGGCTGTTCTAGCATGTTAGAGCATAAATCTGGGGTAGATGGGACTTGAACCTGGGCCAAATTAAGGTCAAAGATAAGGACACTACTGTGGTGCCACAAGAGCCCTAAATCAAACGTTTTGCTTACAACAGTTTCCTTTAACTTGAGTTTGATTGGATTACAGGCTTTAATAGGCATTTTCATTGTGTCAGCAATGCAAGATTATCTAAGTAGTAATTTTAGTTAATGGATGTCAAATAATTAGTCAGTTAATTACTTGATCCTCCTAGAAGTTATTTTGGTCATTGTTCAGTATAGGAGATCATTACCAACCATTTTCGTTTGGATCACTATCTCCAACCTCATTCTTCTTCTTTTCCTCATATCTGTTCCTTTCTCTAATGACACATATAGCATCCCAGCTCTTCTATCTCCCAGCCAATGCACATGTTGACATGAGATTCAAGAGGCAAAAGGAAGAGAAGAAAGAAATACAATAACTAGCAGTAGAGAAAAATTTTAGGGAAACTATTGGAGCTAATGACCAATAAATCCTCTGGAACAGTTGGGTTGCATCATCTTATATTAAAGGGAATAGCTACAGAGATAGTGGTAGTACTGGTGATAATCTGCCAGGAATCTTTAGATTCTGGAAGAGTCCCAAAGAATTACAAAACTGCCAATGTTGCACCTTTATTTGAAAGGAGAAGGAAACAAAAACAGGTAACTGCAGGCTAGTTAGTTTAACGTCTGTTATTGGGAAAATATCAAAGTCCATTATAAAGGATGTAATAGCAGAACATTTAGAAATAAATAATACATTGAGCAGAGTCAGCATAGCTTCATGAAAGGCAAATCTAGCATTATTTGAGGAGGTAATAGAATGATATTTAAAGGGGAAGAAATGGATGTAATATATTTAGAATTTCAGAATACATTTGATAAGGTACCACACATTAGGCTACTTAGTAAGATAAGAGCCCATGGTGCTTGAGGTAGTGTATTAACATGGAAAGAGGATTGGCTTAAAAATAGGGGAGAGGGTCATTTTCAGGATGGCAACATGTAACTAATGGTGTATCACAGGGATCAATGATCGGTCTGCAATTATGTACAATATATATTAATCACCTTAGGTGAGGAAAGTGAATCTGCTATTGCCAGGTTTGTGGATCACACAAAAATAGGTAGGAAAACAAGTAGGTGGGGATGATACAAAGAGTCTGCAGTGGGATAAGTTATAGACAAGTTAAGTGAGTGGTCAGAAACTTGGCTGATGGAATATAATGTAGGGAAATGTGAAGTTATCCACTTTATCAGAAGACTTGAGGAGCTGAATATTATTTAAGATATGGTTAGTAAGTTTGCAGATGACACTAAAATTGGAAGCGTAATGGACAGTGAAGAAGATTACCTCAGAGTACACTGGGACCTTGATCAGATGGGCCAGTGTGCCAAGGAGTGACAGATGAAGTTTAATTTAGGTAGGTGTGAGGTGCTGCATTTTGGAAAGGCAAATCAGGGCAGGACTTATACACTTAATGGTAAGGTCCTGGGGAGTATTGCTGAACAAAGAGATGTTGGAGTGCAGGTTCATAGTTCCTTGTAAGTGGAGTCCCAGGTAGACAGGATAGTGAAGAAAAGATGGTGTTTGGTATTCTTGCCTTTATTGGTCAGAGCACTGAGTATAGGAGTTGGGATGTCGTGTTGCGGCTGTATAGGACACTGCTTAGGCCACTTTTGGAATACTGCATGCATTCTGGTCTCCCTGCTATAGGAAGGATGTTGTGAAACTTGAAAAGGTTCAGAAAAAACTTACAAGGATGTTGCCAGGGTTGGGGAGCTGTGGGGAGAGGCTGGATAGACTGGGGCTATTTTCTCTGGAGCTTTGGAGGCTGAGAGGTGACCTTATAGAGGCTTATGAAATGATGAGGAGCATGGATAGTGTGAATAACCAAGATCTTTTCCCTGGGGTGAGGGAGTCCAAAACTAGAGGGCATAGGTTTAAGGTGAGAGGGGAAAGATTTAAAAGGAACCTAAGGGGCACCTTTTTCATGCAACGGGTGGTGTGTGTTTGGAATGATTTGCCAGAGGAAGTGGTGGAGGCTGGTACAATTACAACATTTAAAAGGCATCTGGATGGGTACATGAATAGGAAGAGTTTAGAGGGCCAAATGCTGGCAAATGGTACTAGATTAATTTAGGATATCTAGTCGGCATGGATGAGTTGAATTGAAGGGTCTGTTTCCATGCTGTACAGCTCTGTGACTGTAAGTGCAGAAAGACTGCCGAAAGCTGAGGAACAAAAGAATTTAGAAGTCCTCATCCATGAATCATAAGAAGCTAGTGTTAAACTTCACGTAATTGGGAAGGCTAATTGAATGTTAGTCTTTATTTCAAAGGCAATGGAGTATAAAAATAGGGAGGTTTTGCTAAAACTATACAAGGCACTACTCCGACCACAGCTGGACTACCATGAACAGTTTTGGGCCCCTTCCTAAGGAAAGATATATAGTGACATCTGAGGCAGTCCAAAGAAGGTTCATTAGGCTGATACCAGGTATTGAAGTACTGCGTTATGAGGCGATGTTGACTAGTTTGGGCCTATATTCATTGGAGTTTAGAAGAATGAGAGATGACCTTATTGAAGTATATAAGATTCTTAGGGGACTTGACAGGGTAGATGCAGAAAGATTGTCTCCCCTTGTGGGAGAGTCTGAGACTAGAGGTCATAATCTCAGAATGAGGGATCAGACATTTGGGACAGAGGAAGAATTACTTCTCAGAAAATAGTGTGGAATTCTTCATTATAGAAAGGTGTTGAAGCTGGGTTATTAAGCATATTTGAGGCTGAAGTGGACAGATTTTTAATAAGGAAAGGAATCCAGGATTAGGGAGCCATAGGCAGGAAAGTGGGATTGAGGGTTATCAGATTAGCCATGATCTCATTGAATGGTGGATTAGACTTGATGAGGGCTGAATAGCCTATTTCTGCCCCTACGTCTTATGGTCTTATTATCAACCTTGGAGGTTTCTCAATGGCAGTCTTTGCCATGTTGCTGAGGTGTCTGCCTGGGTTTTAATTCTCCCATGTCTTTTCCCACCTCTTACTCCTGTGGTGTTGAGGTGGTTGTCTTCCCTGAATTCCATTTGGCCTTTATCCCCTGTGCATCTCTACTTGATTACCCTTGCCAATCCCCACGTTAGAATCCTTAAACACTATTATGTCCACTCATAAAATCTGTGTTCTTTTCTCACTTAATTCACATCTCATCTGATCAGTTCTATCTCTGCACTAAACAACTCCAGATTCTTGGTCACTTCAGCCTCCTTTAGCGTGACATTTCCCAATTACCACAGAATATCTTGTCCTACACACATCATTGTATTGATTCCCTGTCCACACACGTGAGCACCTTTCAATTGGTCCAACGCTACTCCACTTTCTAGTCTAAGAAAAATAAGCCAAACCTCCCTACCAGCACATTTTTAAGCTTCTTTTAAGCTCCCTAGTTCGCTAGATATTGATGCTTTTGATAGTCTACATCTTAACTGCCTCATCTCCACCTGCAATAACCACACCCTCATTAGACCTTGGTCAGTTTACACACACAGTATTCCATATGGTATGTAGAGCCTTCAGTCAATAGGTTGTAAATTTGAACAAATTTGGAGGATGACTTGCATGGTCATTCATTGGCAGACTATTTAATGGATAGATATGTGGTAGATGCAGTTCAGTGCAGAAAGATGTGAAGTAGTTCATTTTGGGGAAAAGAATATTTGAAAGGCAATTTTTTTAAACACGTTGATTTAATTTACAGCTTGGAAGGGAAGAGAAACATAAAAATGGGTAGCTTTTTTTTACTGGTATGGAGAAGATTAATCAGAATCTAATACATTTTTAAAATTATGGTTGTTTATCTTTTAAAAAAGAATGAAAAATGCTGTTTCTAGTCGCTGGTTGATTGGTTAACTGTCAACTTTACTGAAGGTCAAGAGTAGCCTGATGGGGCAATAATTGGCCAAGTTGGATTTGTCCTGCATTTTGTGTACAGGACATACCTGAGCTATTTCCCATATTGTTGTGTAGATGCCAGTGTTTAACTGTATTGGAAGAACTTGGCCAGGGTAGTAGCAAGTTCTGGAGCACAGGTCTTTAGTACAATTGATGGAATGTTGTCAGGGCCCATTGCCTTTGCAGTATCCAATGCCTCCAACTGTTTCTTGATATCATGTGGAGTGATTCAAATTGGCTGAAGACCAATATCTGTAATACTGGGAACAACTGGAGGAGGCTGAGATTGATCGTAGCGAATGCCTTGGCTTTATCTTTTGAACCATGTGTTGGACTCTTTCATTATTGAGGATGGAGATATTTGTGGAGACTGCTCCTCTGGTGAGTTGTTTACTTGTCCACCACCATTCATGACTGGATGTGGCTGGACTGCAGATCTTAGATCCGTTGGTTGTGGAATCGCTTCACTCTGCCTGTCACTTGCTGCTTATGCTCTTTGGCATGCAAGTAGTCCTGTTTGGTAGGTTCACCATATTGTCACCTCATTTTTAGGTATGACTGATGCTGCTCCTGGCATGTCCTTCTGCATCCTCCATTGAACCAAAGTTGATCCCATGGCTTGATGGCACTGAGTGGTTTATATGCCAGTGCATGATGTTGCCATTATCAAGGTTGTGCCAGGTGGTTTGTTTGGTTTCATTTCTTTGTTGAGACTTCACAGCAATTGGTACAACTGGGGAGGCAGTGGCCTAGTGGTATTATCACTGGACTGTTACTCCAGAGAACCAGATAATGTTCTGGGGAACTGGGTTTGAATCCTGCTATGGTCATTGGTGGAATTTAAAATCAATAAAACTCTAGAATTAAGAGTCTAATGATGACCATACATCCATTGTCAATTGTCAGGAAAAACCCATCTGGTTCACCAATATCCTTTAGGGAAGGAAATTGCCATCCTTACGTGGTCTGGCCTACATGTGGCTGCAGACCCACTGCAATATAGTTGAATCATAACTACCTGTAGGGCATCACTGGCTAGGCCAGCATTTATTGGTGATGGGTTTATACAACAGTTTTCTTTCTGCCTCAGTAGAGGGTTTAAGGGCCAAGAAAAATAGAGCTAGAATTACATTCAAGGGTCATGTTTATAAAAACAAATTTTGGACTTTTTCTGTGTAATTGATGTTTTGTATTACTCCTATTTAGAATATCTCTGTCGTATAGTAACTCCTAAAACCATTAAGATTTAAACTTAAACAATCAACTGGTATTATTACCCATGTATGAGATTTTGCACTTTCCTTTCACTAGGCCAAATTGCTGTGTGACAAGATCAATACGAATGTTCTTACTTTGGACAATATGTTAGCAAGTGAAAAATCTGAAGTTGCTAAAAAAATTCACAGATTAAACAATGGAAATAAGGTACAGTGATACTGCTTAAGATGCTGTTTTGTGATAAATTGCCTGTAGCCATTTTAAGTACGTACACGGTCCATGTTTTCAAATGGTAGTTGTTGGAAATTGGTGACAACAATAGAGAAGCCACCTACATGTTTTCTTGCAAATGCTGAAAAAAGTTCAAGTAAAATGGATTTTCTAGTTTAAGTGACTAAAGGGAAATATTTTCTCTTAAGTGTTTCTGCACAGTTTTTCCTAAAGGTGATGACTAGACACATGGTTTTATTAGTACTCACATCTTCTGACTACCATCAGTGGCTGCTTTTAATGCATGGTCAGAAAAGGTGAGTTGTTTGACCTTCAGGATTGTCACAAGTGAACAAAAATCCTGACTTGATTGGCCACAGATGCATTTGTTCTGATTAGGTGTTAGTTGAATTCTGCCTCGTATCCTTCAGCTTCTCCTTCCTTTCCCCAGGAATGCTGTTTACAGTTGTAATGCCCTGAGCAGTTCATGGGTTATGAATGAACTTTCGTTTGGCATCACATAATGTTCACAGAGCTATGGAAACAGGAACCCAGATTATTCTCTTGGCCAAACTGATTGTTCCTCCTGTAGTTTGTGGATATGTTGTGACATTGACGTTCTAGCTGTTTTTATCGTACATTATATCCGATGAGTTCAATTGAGGAAGTTTAGTCTTATTTCATTTTTAAAATAAATACTGCCCATTGAAATTAATTTTAAGAATTACTCCGATGTGGAAGTGGATAAAAATGAGTGGAGTTACTCAGTGCTAATTAAAGGAATGAAACTTTGCTGAAGGGAGATAATAGTTCTGGAAAAATGATTATAATGCAGCTGCTTAAAGAGCAACAGGGGCATTAATTATATTCTTAATACACTAGCTCTTGACTTGAAAAAATGTAATTGTGAGTCAGGCTGTAATGATACCCTTTTCTGGGCTTCAAAGTTTGGATGGCCAATTCTTTTCTAACATTAATTTTGACCATGGAGAGAAAAGGGTCCATTCAGAACAGGAGTTAAATCAGGGTTGATATTGAGAAAGAATCCTTTCATTAAATAATGATTTAAAAGAGGAAGAGCTAATTTACAAGTCCTTCAAAGTTGATTACTTCAACAAGAACTTGCATTACATTGCAAAGAAAATGTCCCAAGGGAACTTGCTTCACAAAGACATAGACAAAAATATTAACGTGTAAATATACTGGGCAGATAATTATACTGTTTGTGGGTGCACTCATGCATTGGCTTGATGGACATCCCTATGGCTAACTAACACTTCAGATTTAAATTTAACTATTTTATAATTCAAGATATATAGTGCAGTAATAATTTATTCAAAAATTAAAACATAATATTCACTATGTGGTATTGTAAATGTGATGCTCAGTGTTGCCCTTTTTATGCATATGTTTCCATACAGACATACATGTATAACCATTAGATTGTTCTGTGTGACCATGACCTTTTAATGAAGCCCTTTTGAACGAGTTATATGCATAAGTTTGGGAAGATTGCAGGTGAACAGCAGATTCTGCAAGAAATGAGTCTTGTATTTTCCTTGACATGTTTAAACTGTCAGTGATTATGATTTGTGCATGTTGGTTTTTCACACATTTCTGTAAGTTGACAGGATGAAATGGTTAGTGTCACTGATTGCACTAAAAATACCAACAGTCTTGATCTATGAAAGACAAATGATCTGTTTTCAGTGAGACCAGTAAAATTTGTTCTTTTCTGTTCACAATGGAAAACTAAGGGCTGAATTCTACTTTTTTTTTAGTTGTGTTAACTTTGTCAAGTTTCACGGAGGTTATCTCTTTCTGAGAGCTAATGAGTTTTCTCACGTTAGTATCCCAAACTGGCCTCATTAACTAGCTATTGCATCTCTGTGGTGACACTCTTGTCTGATGCTAGCCCAACTCTAACACTTACTATACCCAGACCTCACCAGTGCTGGGATATTCAGAATGGATCAGCATCCCTGGTACTGGTGTCATCTTTAAAAGGCTGTTATGCACCAGGATAAACAATATCAGTCTGAACTACCCTGCACAGTTTGTGGACAGGATTATATAGAGGAAGGTTCTCCTCTTCTTGTAGGGCCTGCCAATGAGGCCATGACACCTGATCCTGTGAGTGTGGTCCAACATTGTAAGCCCATTGCCATTCTGCCTCAGCTGACTGGAGAGATACACAATAGTATAGGAAAGAAGTAAGTCACCTTCATTGCTCCACCAGTATAAATGCCACCATCTTCTCTCTGTTGCCTCACATTAATTTCATTTCTATGGCTGTACCTACCTCCCACCAAGGCTCATGTTCTACCACACTTGCTATTGAATGCGGTATCTTTCCTCACTCTCTCAATCAACCCAAGTCTGTCTCACCACTAATTCTGTGCTGCCTATTCACTTGTTTGGGATAACACACCATTTTTACCCCATCTGCAGCAGCACTAATAGTTGTGCCACCCACTGTCATCTCCCTTTCTCTCGATGAAAACAGCCCACAACAGAGCAGAAGATCCAGGACATTTAGGCTGCCTGACGTTCGGCTCCTCATCTCTTACAGCCTAAGGAACCTGATCACCTCAAATGCCCAATGGACTGTGTCCAAGCCCCAGGACTGGGATCAGAGACTGCTTTTCACTTACTGTGCCAGGATGCACTGACTTAACTGATCTCCTTTGACTTATCTGAGGACTGCTGACAACCATGACAACTTCCTGGTTTTGTGCCTCCACTAAGTAGCAACACAGTACAGAAATCTGCTTGATCTTTGTTTATATGTGGATCCACCATTCACGGTTCCATGTATTCGAGAGGCCAACCTTGGTCATGATCCATTTTTCACCCTGTTGACAGGTCCTGATGGATCATGCGGTACTTCTAGGTCTGTCAGGGTGGATAGGGGATTCCCATTCTTCCACAGTTTTATGTTATCCACATTTCCTGCAGGTAATCAGAATTAGCTGTATTGTGAGCCTGATAGCTCTGGCTGAGGGGTCAAAGTGCAAAAGGCAAAATGCTCTGAGCGTCAAGGTCGGCTCACATTCAGTGAATGCAGTCCCTGTGCACAAAGTGTCCTTGCAGTAGCCTTGCAATGATAGTTGCTAGTGCATCCTGTCGTGCAACTTTAAAGTGCATAAATGTACTGTAAGTAGATTGGAAATGAGCTATGATGATGCGAAGAGGCTGGCCAGTGTCCAGTGCCGAGACCCATGAATGTGGGATCCGTGTGGTTGCTGCCAATAAATGTGCCCTGAAGTGCTGGTAGTGGGTGTCCAGATAGAGGTCCTTAGGCACATGAAGTGAGCTGGAGTTGCCAGATACCACTCAGACTTCCATCTTGAAAACTCTGTTCATTTTGGTTTCCTTGCGTGGGTGTTAGGGTAGGAGACTACTTATTAATGAAGTGAGAAGTGGAGTTAATTAGGCTGGCATCAAGCAATAATTCCCCTAATAGGCATTTCGCTACTGCCTAAAAATAATCTCATTTCAATGTTTGAATATGAAACTAGTTGCTCCCAACATTGAGATAGCAATGCTCAAGTTCTCACGTGATTCTCCCAGATTTCTCACCATAGTCAATATTGTCAAGATCCTGAAACAGCCCTAACATTCTAAAGATAAAATTAGTAATTTCCTGGCTCCCTTAAAATTGTTAATTAACTTCCTCCAGTATTACAAGTAGTGAAAATAAAAGACAATTTTCCAAGGCAGTAATTTGAGTTATTTTAAGATTATGCATGAGCTTTGTTAAATTTTAACTTTTTCATGAATGAATACATTAACACTTTCTCTTTGTTCTAGTCATGAAGGATCTGCGTTACGATATTAACACAATGTAGTGACATTTAAAATTAGGAATTAAAATTGCTTTACCTTTAAATTAGAGAAAAAAATTTAACCAATCGGACACAAGTTCTACTCAAGCAGCAACATTTTTTATCCTTTATACGATTAAGTAATTTCATTTGAAATATTTAGATTTCGTGGAAAGGTCATTACAATTGAGAACAAATAACATTGTCGGGGGTCTGTGGGGGAGGGGCATTCAAGATAATGATCCAGGAATCAATCAGTGCTTCTTTAGTACAGGTTATAATTAAAATGATTTCTGTTCCAATGCTTATCAGTTGGATTTTACATTTTGTTTTGCTAATGTGTTATATAAATTGGAAACACAATGAAGGTCAGGCAATATAATTTTATAACCCAATTATTTGACTGACCATTACTTTTGTTTGTTTATTCATTCATTGCATCTTATGGACATTCTTTTTGAATCTTCTGTGTTGTAAAAGTTGCCATACTTTAGCTCCAGATGGTAGACATCAATCTGAACCAATTTGGACATATTTACTAATTTGATTTCCCCAGATTTTCTAAAAACCGTAAAGCAACTTTAAAAGATTGCCTTGTATAGCAGGACTATACAAAATGAGTTTGTAACTTTCATAACCTCTGTCAGTGTGACACTTCAAAGGGATGAAACAGAGACTGGTTGTGGAAGCAAGCAGCATGATCCACCACAAGCAGGCAGTGAGTCCATACTCCCACTGCGCTGGACCATGGGTCTCGAGCCAGCAGCCCCATGGGACCCAGTAACTGTCAAAAAAAAAGTGCCTGCCGATTCTCTTCACTTTTCTCCTTCAGCCTAATCATGTAGGGGCTTTGGAATTCCTTTTGAACTTCGCTCTGAATATTCACCCTCTCATCTCTTTGCAATTCTCTTTTGCTTTGCAGGAAATTCCCAATACACTATGGGCAAAGCTGATCCTAGAACGGCTGTCAAAAATGGACTGCATCAAACGGGTAGGAATCGCTCCTGTAGGAATAGTCAAAGAGCAATTACACAGCATGCACACATACTTGGCATTCAGCGGTGGAATGAGCGGGGGATTGGTTCAGGCAGTGGCTGATTGCTCTGTCGAACAGCAGTGGGGGAGTTTGAAAGTTTATTAAGAGGATAAAGTGCAGGATGAGTGTGTGCATATGCTAATCTGATAGTTGAGCGTTGATCAAAGACTAAACACAGAATCCAACTGATTGCCTGGAGCAGTATTCAGGGCTGGGATGGGCTATGTCACCGAGAAACCAGACAGAACAGTCAAATGAAACCGTACAGCTAGTTGGTTAGTAAGGCAGCTGCAGCAAATTTTTATTTAGCATAGAGTAATTTTTAGAATTTGTTTGACATTTTCAATAAAATATGCAACAGCATATGCATTTTAACAGTTACAAAAACAATTAGATAAGTTACTTCAGTTTTTTTAAAACAATTTTCTTAATTCCAACTTGTTAATTTACTGAAAGTTTAAAACAGAAAGGTATTTGAGATGGCCAATATGAGTGGATTTCAGCCTTATTTATACAATAGGTTTTGTCTTCATGTTTACTGTGCCAGTGTATCTATGTGCTACCTAAGACACACAGAAGTGATGCCTTTTTGTTTCCTATCTCATCTATGATTTTTTTCTGCACAATATGAATTGGCTGAATAGTTGGACGAATTGTTACAACCAATTTTGAGCAAGTTTCCCACAAAAATGGCAAAGGATTCCTGCACATTTGCAAAGAACAGGATTTGCAAACCGATAACAATACTAGTTCATGGCTTATGTGACATTACTAACCTATTCACCAATATATCGCTCAAGGAAGCCATAGATATTTGCATTGCAGCATTGTATTGTGGCAATGTAGACCTGCCAATCAGTATTCATTGAACATGAGGAACTCAACAACTCACACTGTTGAGTTCAGTTTTATCGGCAGCATGTACGCCCAAATAGTTGCTGTTGCCATGGGATGCCGTGCTTGGTCCAGCTCTCACAAACATCTTTGGGTTCCATGAAAAACATATCCTGGATGGAATGACTTTATATCTAAAGGACTGGAGTATATGTTGGAGAATTTATACTGCAGTTATACAAAACTCTGTTTAGACCCCATTCGGAGTACTGTTAGGAAATCTGGGCACTGCATCTTAAGAAAGATATATTGGCCTTGAGGGAGTATGGTGCAGGTTTACAACTTCAAGGTTAGTTTGAGGAGTGATTATAAAAAATAGATCTGTTTTCTGTAGAACTTAGAGGCTAGATGGGTTATCTGATCGAAGTCTTCAAGATATTAACATGAAAAGAAAGGGAGATAAAGATAAACTGTTTCCACAGGTTGGAAATTCTAGAACTAGGGGACGTAGTCTGAGAATTAGTGCCAGACCATTCAGGAGAGATGTTAGCAAGCACTTCAACACACAAAGGATGGTTGATATTAGGAACTCTCTTCCACAAACACCAGTGAATGTGGGATCAATTATTAATTTTGAATTTGAGATAGACATTTTTTGTTAAGCAAAGATACTAAGGGACACAGGCCAAAGACAGATATATGGAGGTAGACTACAGATAGCCATAATCTCACTGAATGATGGAATAGGCTCAAGGGGCTGAATGGTCTATTCCTGTTTCTGTGTTCCTATAATGACACATAATCTCCTATCCCTTGCATATCTCTGATATGTAGATGATAGGTTTGCAATAATTGAATCCATAGCAGCATATAAGAATTTCCTTAAATGTGTGAATGGGCACCATCCTGCTCTTAAATTCATCTTTGAAATGGAAAAATGAACTGAGCTCCTTTCAATGCCCATCTCAGTTGAGAAAGCAACCTTGCAGTTCTCTACAACTGTCTACTGCAAGTCTACCGTCAATGGTCAATATGGGATTGCTATAGTACCAGATGGTAAAGGCCTTGCTGGCCACCTCATAAATATGACCCAGACTATTTGTTCTCCATGAAGACTTGATTCTGAAAAAATGCACATCGAAGCCATCCTGTGGGATAATGACTACACTGATTGCATCAATTCTCACTGTATATTGTGCAAATTCATGAGCAGGCCTAAGGTCAGCACGTTTCAGCTGAAAAGACTCCAGTCCATCTCAGGTGAAGGGTATCTCAATGCTTTGACCAACAGGGGAAGTGAGCTCTTTCACATTGCTAGTATTCAGTCAAAACAATAATAATGGTCATCATTAAAAAGGGTGCGGTGAGCAAACCAAAAAGATATTCTACCTATAAAGCAAATGAGTTACGTGTAATATGAATTTCATTGTTATAGGCTGTAGAATACAATGATTGGCAGATTGTGTCAAACAGCATATTCCTTCAGTTGTTTCAACAAGCAAGGCACTTACCATACCCAACCAGCAGTGTTCAACATTGGTCAACTTGCTAAATAATCCTGAGTGTGTTAAAAGTTGTGCTGATAAATAATTTAAGACTGTTAGTTACGTTTGAAGTTTGACATCTTTGTGCATACTAGAAGCTTTTAACATACAGGGCCCTGTTCATTGAAGACAGAAAGAATATGTACACGTTGCGCCTGTTTTCACATACAACAAGACAGGTGATAGCCACTCACTGGTTCATTTCTCAGGGTAATGCACTGACCAATTAGATTTAACTTGCCTGGTTTAGATTTAAATAAGGCTTGGCAGTAAACTATCAGTTATCATCTAACCAGTGAGTCCACTTGATAATCAATCAACAAGTTATTGCAGGAATAAAGTATTGTTTTACCAATACATTGGTATTTCTTTCAACTTGACTTGATGAATGTAAGATGAGAAGCTTTGACAAAATGTCTTTCTTTTTAACAATACTCAAATTTTGTGCTACCCTTGGGCGACTGTCTGTGTGGACATTCTCCCCTTGTCTGCATGGGTTTCCTCCCAGTGCTCCGGTTTCCTCTCACAGTCCAAAGATGTGCAGGCTAGGTGGATTGGCCATGCTAAATTGCCCGTAGTGTTCAAGGATGTGTAGATTAGGTGGGTTATAGGGGGATGGGTCTGAGTGGGATGCTGTAAGGGTTGGTGTGGACTTGTGGGGCTGAAGGACCTGTGTTTCCACACTGTAGGGATTCTATAATTCTTTGTTTTCTGTTGTCTTCCTCGATTTAAACAATATTCAGCTCCTCTGTTCATCCTTCCAGAGTGCATAACCTCACATTTTCCCACATTATATGCTAGCTGTCAAATGTTTGCCTTCTTGCTTAATCTGTCTATATACCTCTGCAGCTACTTATGTCTTCCTCACTACTTGCCTGCTGTGCCGCCTGTACGTCCTGCAAATTGTGAAGGGACCTTCTGTTGTGACGTTTTCATGTGGAGACTGCTTGTCATCTACTGGAGGTTGCTGTAGTACTGGAGTGGCTGCAATACTTGAGTTGCTGGGGCATCAGTTGATCCTCAATTTCTCTGCACCTCTGTTGCACTGCAGCAGCAGTGATGATAACCCCTGCTGTGGCTGGATCTATTAGTCATGCTACCAATGAACCGGCGTGGGAAATATCAGAAACAGAACAATTTGTTAGTAATATGATTAGTCAGCATTCGCATCATTCACAAATGGTGGTTTAGCATACTCCTGTATACAGTGGGACATAGAGGATCCAACAGAGAGGGCTGTAGAATGTCTCTACATGGGCCTTTTATGTAGGGGCCTTATTCCAATGAATGTGGCACAAGGCACGTCATGCAAATACGGTAGGAGGTTGTAAATGCTGTATGATTACTGATTCTACCCCATATCAGTCAGGAGAGGCAACAGAGCATACAAGAGCACATTAATGAATACTGAACAGGTTTAAGTTTAGGAAAGTCAGTTCCATGCCCGATGTGACCTTAGACTGTCTTTGGGAATTGAGGCTGCATGTGCTGGTTTTAAGGTCATCTGTGATTACTTCAGCTTCACAGAAATAACCATGTTGAGTCTGCAATGACCAATGACATGTCCAGATTGCTTGTGACCAGGTTTGGTATCCCACACAATTGAATACTGCATGCATTTCACATGTGGGTTTCCTATGCTTATAGATTACTTCAATTTGTAATATGAAGGGGCTTGATTAATATAATCGCCCCTTGAATGACCTCACATTGCTCAAAAGAAGAGCCTGCATGCTCAGACAGAAAAGAAAGAATTACTTCACCCACTCCAGATGCAATCACGACCATTTTCCATTTTCAGTGTGCAATTTGCATGTCACATGAGCATGGAAGGCAATGCAGGTCATGTTTGGCCTCGTGAGTCGCAGGCTGTAACTGGTATTGGAGCGGCATCCCCAAACTTCCATGTTCTTTCTTCCTGGCACTTCATGGCATGCAACTGGGTGCAAGTCGGCAAGATGGCGGCAGAATAGGACACTCCAGCCAGGGTTTGTCTGTTCCGCTGGCTCTTTTCTTTATCTTCTCTTTTTCTTTCTCCTAATGTTTTTTTTTTCCCTTTGACTCCCAACCTTTGATGACCACTCGCAATTTCCAGTGAGGAGCAATGATCCCTAGCCTCTGGCGAGTGATGATTCCTGGCCTCCAGTTATGATTCCCTACCTGGCGCAGTGGCCTCCAGGCATGGCGTGCCGTCCTCCCGGCCTGGTGCAGCAGCCTCCTTCTGTAGGGACCTCTTGGCGTGGCATAGCGACCTTCCAGCCTCCTGCAGTGGCCTCCTCTCATTGGGGCATCCCGGCATGGTGTGGCGATCACCCCGCCTTGCACAGCAGCTTCCTGCAGTGGTCTACCGGCGTGATGTGTCACTGGCGCTGTATGGAGCCAGGGCCCAGTGCGGACTGGACACTAAATGCCAGCTTGGTCTGCTGTACTGATCTCTTTTCTGTAATGCTGGACACTTTATTTCTGTATTGTCAAAAATCTTCTAACTAAAGAAGCTGTGCCGAGGTACTTATTTTATCTAAGGCAGCGCTGTAATTGGCAGCATATAAACTTTTTGCTATACTCATTGAGTGTATG